TGTGGGTGTGGGGGTGGGGTTGTGGGGGGGGGTGGGGGGGGGGGGGGGGGGGGGGCGGTGGGGGGGGTCCATTTAACCCTTTAAAGGTCTTTGTTGTTTATTATTAAAACTGTGTTTTTTTTATTTCCATCAGGTGGTAAGTTGTCGCCACGGCAACCGAAACCGTTGAAGAAACCCCCTGAGGAGAGGGAGTGTGAACCAGAGAAGACCAGCAGGTCGTCCAAACCCACGGAGAACGTCAGGCTGCAGCAGAAGAGTCCAGTGAAGGAGGCAGGAGAACCGCCGTCCCCCGGGAGCAGACTCCCAACCCTGGGTCAGAGGTCGTCCAGCAAGGTCAAAGTCAGGAACCATCCTCCGTCACTGAGTGGGGGCGCTGTAAACACGTGGGACTCGGGCCAGAACTGTGACACCAGACCGTCCGATGGTCCAGGTGAAGCAGGTGAAGCCAGGTTGATCCTGGAGGGAGGGAAGAACGAGACCAAACAGTCCAGGACCAAAGAGCTACGGCTGGGAGGAAAGAAGAAGATCCAGTCAGAACCTCCGCCGTCCCACCACCAGGACGTCGCGCTCACAGTAAATGTTCAGGTCGATGGTGCACCAGTAGACACCGAGGTCACCAACACTGAGGCGGACTCTCAGGAGGTTTCAGCCGAGAGCGATGACATCACACAGGAGCGGCGCCGACCACAGACGTCCGTGGAAGGAGAGAACTGTTCAACAGACACCGTCTGTAATCTGACACCAGGTCTAATCCAGGAGAACAAACCAGTCCCTGCAGCCGCTGGCACCGTACCAGCCCCGCAGGATGGAACCGATACATCGGTCCAACCTGTGGTGGATGACGCCACCTGCTGTGATGTAACGCCCGACTCTAATGAGCGCAGTGAGGTCACTGCGGCACAAACACGGCCCACAGGCGTTTTCAAAGACCAAGAAATGAAGTTGGGGGACAGAGCTGAAGCCCCGCCCACTGCCCCGATTGGACCGACTCCTGTTACTGAAGAAAAACTCCAGAATGACTCGGAGAGAAAGATCGGAAAAGACAGACCGTCACCCACTGAGGCCGCCGTGAAACCAGCGGCTCTGGAACTTCACACAGAGACTGGAAGTGTTTGTCAGTTTCCCAGGAATGTTGAAAATCAAACAGACAAAGAGCCTCTTTCACTGGGAGGAAACTCTGACAGAGCCGAGGACTCACAGAGCAGCAGCAGGGAGGAACACGTGGCCATAAGTACCGAGGCTGAGCTCACAGAACCGCAGGAACAATGTGGTCCTTCATCAGAACTGGACCATCTTCAGTCTGATGAGAAGAAGAAGGAACAAACAGGAGAGAAGAGGACGGAGGAAGACCATGTATCCAAACCTAGTGTGGTCTCCACGGACCATGAGAACAGGGAGGAGAAGGTCCAGCTGATGGTGGTACCGATGCTGAACAGTACTCAAGAGTCCAAACCACTGACTGAGAATAAAGTCAAAAAGAGCCAGACGGAGGAGGAGGAGGAGGAGGAGGACAGTCTTAGCCAAGCGCCACAGATGGAAGCCAACAGTACTACACCACAGGAAGTCACAGAGGAGGTCAACGGTACCAGTGATTCAAAGTCAAACAGAGTCGTCACGCAGATGTCCAGAGGGAAGGACAAACCCGCCCATGGTCCACTGGAGAACCTTCCTTCAGAATTGAAAAGCTCCTGCAAAAAAGTAAAAGACGTGACAAGGTTGGAGGGTGAGGAACCTCCAGGTGATGTTGAGGAACTCAAGGAAGTTCAAACACCAGGGATGGAGGACACCAGTACTGAAGAACAGGACGGCACAGAGCAGGAGGACCACGGTACCAGTGACCTGCAGGAAAGACGAGCTCCAGAAGCTACGACCTCTGGAGACGAGGACAGACCAGCTGATGGTTTACTGGAGGACTCCTCAACACCCCCCACCACAGCAGAGCAGGAGACCGACACCCAGAGACTGAAGGAGGACCGTGCTGTAGGAATTCAACCCTCGATCACGAGACCTCAGGATGTTAGAGAAGAGGAGGACGGACAGACTGACGAGGATGAGAAGAACCAGACCTCGGAGATACCGGTCCTGAGAGCTGAAATACAGGAAGTCAAAGAGGAGGGAGATGATCATGGTGCTGATCTGAAGGAAGACCAGAGTCCAGAGACTGAGACACAGGATCTACTGGAGAACCTTCCTTCAGAAGTTAAAGCTCAAAGTTCAAACGAACAGATCTGTGGAGAAGAACAGGAGATGTTAGAGGAAAACCAATCTCCAGAGATGGAGGTCCAAACTGCTGGAATACAGAAACCTGAAGAGGAGGAAGGCAGTCACGCCAAGGTAAAGGAACTCCAAACTCCAGAAGCTGAGACTTCTGGGAAGGAGGACACACACCATCTACTGGAGAACCTTCCTTCAGAAGTTAAAGCCGAATGTTCAAACGAACAGATCTCTGAAGAACAACAGAAGATGTTAGAGGAAAACCAAACTCCAGAAACTAAAACCACGACCAAAGATCAGGACGTTGGAGAAAAGGAGGACAAAGATTCTCAGGATGTTGAAGGAAACCAATCTCCAGAGATGGAGGTCCAAACTGCTGGAATACAGAGTACTGAAGAGGAGGAAGACAGTCATGTTACGTTGAAGGAACTCCAAACTCCAGAAGCTGAGACTTCTGGGAAGGAGGACACACACCATCTACTGGAGAACCTTCCTTCAGAGGTTAAAGCCAAAACTTCAAACAAACAGATCTCTGAAGAACAACAGAAGATGTTAGAGGAAAACCAAACTCCAGAAACTAAAACCTTGAGTGATGTTAGAGAAAAGGAGGACGAAGATACTCAGGATGTTGAGGAAAACCAAAAACCAGAAGATAAGACCTCTGGGAAGAAAGACACACACGATCTACTGGAGAACCTTCCTTCAGAGGTTAAAGCTCAAAGTTCAAACGAACAGATCTGTGGAGAAGAACAGGAGATGTTAGAGGAAAACCAAACTCCAGAGATGGAGGTCCAAACTGCTGGAATACAGAAACCTGAAGAGGAGGAAGACAGTCACGCCAAGGTAAAGGAACTCCAAACTCCAGAAGCTGAGACTTCTGGGAAGGAGGACACACACCATCTACTGGAGAACCTTCCTTCAGAAGTTAAAGCCGAATGTTCAAACGAACAGATCTCTGAAGAACAACAGAAGATGTTAGAGGAAAACCAAACTCCAGAAACTAAAACCACGACCAAAGATCAGGACGTTGGAGAAAAGGAGGACAAAGATTCTCAGGATGTTGAAGGAAACCAATCTCCAGAGATGGAGGTCCAAACTGCTGGAATACAGAGTACTGAAGAGGAGGAAGACAGTCATGTTACGTTGAAGGAACTCCAAACTCCAGAAGCTGAGACTTCTGGGAAGGAGGACACACACCATCTACTGGAGAACCTTCCTTCAGAGGTTAAAGCCAAAACTTCAAACAAACAGATCTCTGAAGAACAACAGAAGATGTTAGAGGAAAACCAAACTCCAGAAACTAAAACCTTGAGTGATGTTAGAGAAAAGGAGGACGAAGATACTCAGGATGTTGAGGAAAACCAAAAACCAGAAGATAAGACCTCTGGGAAGAAAGACACACACGATCTACTGGAGAACCTTCCTTCAGAGGTTAAAGCCAAAAGTTCAAAAACAGAAACATCTGGAGAAGATCAGGGAAATATTACTCCAAACTGCTGGAATACAGAAACCTGAAGAGGAGGAAGGCAGTCACGCCAAGGTAAAGGAACTCCAAACTCCAGAAGCTGAGACTTCTGGGAAGGAGGACACACACCATCTACTGGAGAACCTTCCTTCAGAGGTTAAAGCCAAAAGTTCAAAAACAGAAACATCTGGAGAAGATCAGGGAAATATTACTCAGTATATTACTCAAGTCAGAGAGGAAGAAGGAAAACCTCCTGGTGTCGTTGAGGAAAGTTCTACGATGGAGTTCAAATCTGAAAATGCTGGAGGACTGGAGGTGACAGAGAAGCTGGACGACAACACCACGGACCTAAAGGAGAACAAAGCTACGGCTGCTGGACAGATGGACGCACCAGCTCAGACGGAAAACGTCACTACAGAGACAAAAGTCAAGAGTTCCGATTTGGAGATTCGTGGAGACGAGCAGCAGATGGATACTGATGGTGAGAAGGTGAAGGTGAAGCAGGATCCAGAAATCCAAACCAGGACGGACGTTGGTACAGACACGAAGGACAAAGACGTTTCTGCTGTCAGTGAACTCCAAACATCTGAAGCCACAGACACCGGCGTTCCAGAGGCGACAGGACAGACGGGCGGACGTAGGAGTGAGGACGTAGAGGAACGTCAATCTGCAGTCAAAACCACCAGCACAAAGGTACAGGAAACTGTGAAGAAAGAAGCTCCAGAAAAGAAACCCAGAAGAATCAAAAAACAGAAAGACGTCAAGGAACCAAAAGACACAAAGACTAAAACCCAGGACGCTGAGGAAGACGGGGACACGGATGTCCAGGAGAAAGACTCTACAGGAATAAAAAAGGTTGCAGGTTTTCAGGGAGACAACATTTCACCAGAGGAGGCTCCAGTTAAATCTAAGGTCAACACTGGAGTCCATCAGAAGACGGCGCCACCTAATGGTGACCACCGTACATTTATGGAAAAGACCTTGGAAGGTGTTCACGAAGTGGTTGATCAAATACAGGAAATTGACTCACGAAAACATCCAGAAAAACAAACGACACCAGAGAGCCGAGACTCTGACACTGTAACCATGGCAACAGACGTTGACGTTCACCGAGACCAGAGAAACATTGACAACAGGGGCGGACCAGCGGGGCGTGAAGGTCAAACCTCTGAGGTGAAGACGGTGAATATTAAAGTGATCGAAGAAGAGGAGACGACGGTGAAGAACCTGTACAGACATGAAAAGACCCAACCTCCAACTGTGGACGCTGACGTGAATGACCTTCACCTGGACCAAAGTCTGGTACAGGGGGATGAGGACCAAGATAAAGAAGAGCGGGACAGACCCACGGAGTCTGAAGATCAAAACCAGTTCTCAGACCGTGAAACAGAAACAGACAAAAAGACTGAACCACAGGCGTCTCCAAACAGGTCTGAAGACCAGATCGGTACCATGTCCAACTCCACAGACCAGAGGCTTGAAATGAACAAACACCAGGTGAAGACAATGAAAGAGATAGAGGGAAAAACAGAATCTAAACACTTGGATTCAAACCTTCAACCTAAACTAGAAGACACAAACACAGGCACTGTTGAGAGGACGAGTGAAGGACGAAGGACTGCAGAACTCACTGAAGACAGAACTAACACAACGTTAGAAAAGACTGAAGTTGAAAACCATCTCAGTTCAAGTCTCAGTGACATCACGCGGCCAATCACTGAGCTGGAGAACAAACAGGACAAGATGGGACGCCGTGCTCAGGAATCGAAGAGTGAGGATGGAACCAAGGATTCTCCAGTGACGACTTTGCCAAAAGACGCTGCGTTTCTGAGTATTGGTGACCAAAAAGACCAAACGTCCACGGTCCTCAAGGACGGACATGAGGACAACAGGAAACCAAAGGACTTCACTGGTCTGTCCACAGACCTCAAAGCTCCAGACGGCGTCCAACAGCAGGAAACAAAGACTGAATTGATGGGATGGACAGAAGAAACTGTTGACATTCAACTAAATCAAAAAATCCAGGTTAGAAAAAGTCGAGCTGAACAAGAAGATCTGCTAAAAACCAGTGTGAACAAAACAGACGTCAGGGAAAAGTCAAAAGACGACAAAGACGTCAAAGCAGTTAAAGAAGTTAGTGTAGAAAAGACAAAGACTGTCCCCGAGTCCAAGAGACACAAAGAAGGCTTCAAAGAAAAACAGAAACCTTTACGGTCAGGTGGCAGATCAGGGGTATCGTTTAGAGAAAGTTCTCAAAGTCCACAGCCGAACAAAGAATCTCCGTCCAGTTGGTTGGACGTAGAACATCATCACAAACAGAAGAAGGAACACAAGAAACGTCCGGAGGCCTCCGCCAGCGAGGACGAGTCCCTGGAACCCGACGACTACGAGGATTTCATTAGGAGCATCAAGGAAGGCGGAATTCCTTTCTCACTACCTCCAAAGAGGCACGTCCAACGGAAGTCCCACTCTCCGCCCTTCGCCATGCCGGCCATCAAAGAAGATCACTTTGAGAAAACCTTTGATCCGGAGGAATTCCAGTTTGGCCTGAGGAAAAACGGAAAGATATTCCAGGACCCTTCGCCAGCTATGGTCATAAAACGAAACGCAGCCAACAGAGAGGGACGGACGCTGGACAAACGTGCTCGGGAGAAAGCCCTTGCCGCGCTTGATGACGTGTTTGACGAGGGGGGAGGAAGTCCCGAAGAGAAAGGTGACCTGAACAACGGGGAGGAACCTGTGAAGTTGACATCAAGACTTGGACGGATATCCATTCTGTCCAGCCTGATGAGTTCCCCCAGGAAAACCAGGGAGGAGAATACCCCCCCCTCTGATGCCTCTCCTTCAAACCACCAACAACCGTCCAAGCAGGCTGTTGATTTACTGCCACTGGGCTCAGAGGCAGAGAAGGAGGGTGTGAAGGGTAGTGATCAAGGCTCAGTCTTGGTTGGTAGTAAAAGTGTAACTAATGACTTAGCGCTAAGCCCCGCCTCCCCTCCTCCCCTTCCCCCTCCCTTCCCCACATTCTCAGAGGTGAAGCTTCCAGATCACTTGGAGAAATACCTCAAGAGGAACAAAAGAGGAGCCGAAGCTTCCCAGGGTTCCACAGCAACTGCACGGAATACTGACATGGACGGGGCCCTGACGTCGGAACCCCCCAGGGTGGACGTGGTCCTGCAGGGACCGCCCCCCTCTGCAGGGCCCCAAAAAAAAAACCACAGCCAAAAGAAAAGTCGGGCAGGACATTCTCTGAGTAAGAAAAAGGTAGGACTTTGATATTTTTCTATTATGGTCCGTCAGTGTAGATGAAGGACGGTGAGTGGGTCACATGACAAAGTCCAAAACAGAAGCAGATTAGAGACTGGGGAAAAGTCGGTGCTGAGATAAAGTGTCAGTCAGTGTGAAGAGTTGTTGGAGCACTGACATGTTGCCGTCTGTTACTACAGACTGACACTGACACTGAACTCACCACGACCTCAATGAGTGTCCGCATAAACAACAAGTGGGAAACAGGCACCAGGCCGGAGGCACGACATGTAGGTTTTGGATGTAGTAAAGGTTTGAAAAGTGGGTGGGTATCTTAGTCCACACACCGAAGGTCAAAGGTCAAAGACACAGCATTCTGGGATGTTTCTCAATCAGCAAACAGACTGTGAGCAGCTGTAGAGTGAACGAAGAGCAGCGTTCACCACAAAAACAAGGATGGAGTCACACTCCAGTGATGAAACAGCAGTTTGGTAACTTTGGAAAAGGTCATGTGACCGGGTCATGAACCCTAGTCTGTGGCGACACATCTGTGTCGCAGGAATACACACTCTGCAGATGTTGTTGACGTTTATTTTATTTTTATTGCTAGAAAAGAAGTTCAAACTATTTGTTTTTACTAGCTGTTTACTTTTTGAAGTACCAGTACTGCAGTGAGGTTGACTTGTACTTCCATGTCCTCCCAGGTGCCTGCAGTGAGAGGAGTCCACAGACGACCTGGGAAGGTAGGGTCGAACGTTGTTGTAGCAGTGTCACAGTCGACGCTCGGGATGAAGCCGAGAATGACTCGAAAGGTTTGTGTTGACACAGATCGTCATCCATGAGCGCGCTCAGTTTGAAGGACAAACATCGGAGTTCTACTGTGACGTAGAGGACGCTACCATGTTCAACTTCTCACCCGTCATCTCCGTCAGAGTCATCAGAGGATGGTGACGCACTGCCCTCCAGTGGAGGATTCTAAATAATTACATCATTGTTGTTACTGTCATCACTCACTAACTCTTCACCACTGACTAACACTTCATCACTGACTAACTCTTCATCACTGACTAACTCTTCACCACAGACTAACTCTTCATCACTGACTAACTCTTCATCACTGACTAACTCTTCATCACTGACTAACTCTTCACCATCGACTAACTCTTCATCAAAGACTAACTCTTCATCACTCACTAACTCTTCATCACTCACTAACTCTTCACCACTGACTAACACTTCATCACTGACTAACTCTTCATCACTGACTAACACTTCATCACAGACTAACTCTTAATCACTCACTAACTCTTCATCACTCACTACCTCTTCATCACTCACTAACTCTTCATCACTCACTACCTCTTCATCACTCACTAACTCTTCATCACTCACTACCTCTTCATCACTGACTAACTCTTCACCATCAACTAACTCTTCATCAAAGACGAACTCTTCATCACTCACTACCTCTTCATCACTGACTAACGCTTCATCACTGACTAACTCTTCACCATCGACTAACTCTTCATCACAGACTAACTCTTCATCACAGACTAACTCTTAATCACTCACTAACTCTTCATCACTGACTAACGCTTCATCACTGACTAACTCTTCACCACCGACTAACTCTTCATCACAGACTAACTCTTCACCATCGACTAACTCTTCATCAAAGACGAACTCTTCATCACTCACTACCTCTTCATCACTGACTAACGCTTCATCACTGACTAACTCTTCACCACAGACTAACTCTTCACCATCGACTAACTCTTCACCACAGACTAACTCTTCATCACTCACTACCTCTTCATCCCTCACTAACTCTTCATCACTCACTAACTCTTCATCACTCACTAGCTCTTCAGCACTCACTAACTCTTCACCACTGACTAACTCTTCACCACAGACTAACTCTTCATCACTCACTACCTCTTCATCACTGACTAACTCTTCATCACAGACTAACTCTTAATCACTCACTAACTCTTCATCACTGACTAACTCTTCCTTCCTCTCCAGCTGGCTCCTGTATGAAAAGCCTGGTTTTCAGGGCCGGGTCATTGCCCTGGAGGAAGGACCCACTGAGCAGATCGTAAACATCTGGGCAGACGAGGAGACGCCGACCCTGACCCCGACCCTGACCCCGACCCCGACCCCTCTGGACCAGAACGCTCAGCCTGTTCCAACAGCACCAGTGGTCATCGGGTCGATTCGACTGGCCGTTAGGGTACGTTAGGACGTGTGTGTGTGTGTGTGTTGTTTCAGAGAAAAAGTGAGAAAAAAATGATTCCCTCCTCCCCTGTAGGGGGTGCTGTAAATGCAGTTACATTATTGTTTTGTTTAAGTCAAATTTTCAGATGTTTCTAACAAAAATAAGCCAAAACATTATGGCAGATGGCTCCAACAAGGAGCCTCAAACGACCCCTGGTGGGTATCTGGAGGTACTGCAAGGGAGTCAAAGAACTTGTTTTCCCACAACTTTAAATGACTTTTAGCACACATTAACATTAAAACAACATTAAGGTGTAGAGATTATCATCAAAGGACATCAAAGGACATCAAAGGACAGAACCTGGCTACAGATAAAACACTAAAAACAAAGATTTGAGGTTAAAATAAAAACTCTCTGCTGATCTAAGGAGGTTTTTTAGATATCTGTAGGGGAGGGGGCGGGGGGGGGGGTCACCGGGGACAGACTAAGAATGTTGGAGGAAACTTATAATAAATAATTAAATACATTTTCAAATTAAAATGTTTTGTGTGTGTGTGTGTGTGTGTGTGTGTGTGTGTGTGTGTGCAGGACTACAGTCTGTCCAGGATAGATCTGTTCTCTGAGGTGAACGGTTTGGGGAGGATGTCGTCGTTCTGTGACGACACCGTGGAGCTGGGCTCGTACGGGATCCCTCAGACCACCGGGTCCATCAGGGTCCACTCAGGAGTGTGAGCTCATACATGTTCTTTATACTGATGGGGACCTGTGGAACCAGGCTGGAGCTCAGGTCCAACTGTAGGTACCACCGTAGTACCACTGTAGTACTACTGTAGGACCACCGTAGTACTACTGTAGGACCACCGTAGTACTACTGTAGGACCACCGTAGTACTACTGTAGTACCACTGAAGTGCTACAGCAGTACTACGGTGGTACTACAGTGGTACTACGGTGGTACTACAGTGGTACTACAGTAGTACTACGGTGGTCCTACAGTAGTACTACGGTGGTCCTACAGTAGTACTACGGTGGTCCTACAGTAGTACTACGGTGGTACTACAGTAGTACTACAGTACTACTGCTGTAGTTCCACTGTAGTACTGCTGTAGTACTTCAGTGGTACTACAGTAGTACTACAGTAGTACTACAGTACTACTGCTGTAGTTCCCTGGACTGGTTTCTAGAGTGACTTTTTTTTTTAGCTTTTCTCTTTGTTGTTTTTAGGAGTGGTGAGGTTAAAGGTCACAGAGGGTCCGGGTGCAGCATCTGTTTTCTGTCAGTGAAGGAATGTGAGCTGCAGGGTTGGGCCGCCCCCTGGTGGTTAGAACATCCACTGGTTCTCTGTGTGTTAGGAGTCTGTGACCGTTTACTGTCAAAGGCGTGTCTCTGACGACACTCTGCAGGTCAGAGGTCACTCTGCAGGTCAGAGGTCACTCTGAAATTCTGAAGGTGTTGTGATTCTACAGCAGGGGTGTCAAACCTTTGGTTCGGGGCCCACCCTCAGCCTGATTAGAAGTGGACCGGACCAGTTTAATCATAGCATAAATACCTATAAGTATATTAGAATAATATTCATATTTAATGAAATATAATTTGACAAAACTCCAGGAACATGAAGTTTTCTTCAAGTGGGCTGCACTGAACCACCTAGCGGGCCGGTTTTGGCCCTCAGGCCATATGTTTGCCAGCCTGTTGTGCAGTGTATCAGCTCATTCCCTCCGTCTGCTCCTCAGCTGGCTGGTTTACACCGACCCAGGCTTCGCAGGTCTGATAGGAGTGCTGGAGGCGGGGGAGTACCCCTGCCCTGAGGCCTGGGGCTTCTCCGAACCCTTCGTCGGCTCACTGAGACCCCTGAGAACGGTACGGTCCCCGGGGCCGCTGTCTGTCCCCGGTGGTGTCACCCTGTCTCTGACTGACTCTGGTGTGTCTGTTGTCTTTCAGGGTGTCATCAGGGTGGAGCAGCCCCACGAAGTCAAGGTCTGTGGTTTTATATAATGGTCTTCTAATGTCCTATAGCGCCCCCTGGAAACACTATTGTCTATTCTCTCTTCTATGAAATGACACATTTCCACCAGCGGGTGGCACAAACGTAAACGTCTGTAGAGTGAATCTATACGACAGTCTTTAAATAGAAACCTTATGTTGAGCCTCACCTACGTCCTGTCCGTCCTCCTCTTCCTCCTCCTCCTCGTCCTCCTCCTCCTCCTCCTCCTCCTCCTCCTCCTCCTCCTCCTGTCGTCCCTCCTCCCCCCCCTCCTGCCCCTCCTCCTCCTCCTCTTCCTCCTCCTCCTCCTCCTCCTCCTCCAGGCTCTTCTGTTTGAGAAGCCCAACTTCGATGGAGCGTGTGTGGAGGTGGACGACCTGGTGTACGGTCTGCAGGAAATCCAAGAAGACCAGACGTCCCTGTCCTCGGTGGGCTCCATGAAGATCCTCAGTGGACTGTGAGTGTCTCCGGTGTCTTCAGACGGGACGCACGTCAACACCGCCATTTTTAATGATGATGATGTTTCCGTCTGTAGTTGGGTCGGTTACCAGGAGGCCGACTTCGAGGGTCAGCAGTACGTCCTGGAGGAGGGTCACTACCCTCACTGGACGGACTGGGGCGGAACTGAGGCTGGGCTCCTGTCACTGCGGCCCGTCTGCACCGTAGGTGTCACCGCGACCTTTGACCTGTCAACCACAAACATTAATCACAGGGAATTAATCACAACTAATCACGATTAATCGTGATTGTAGTTAAAAACAATTCATTGTTTACGTTAAATAATCACGATGAATTATCATTGATCGTGATTGTGATTAATCACGATTAGTCGTGATGTTTCTAATGAAACATTCCTAAACAGGTGTTTTTCTGTATATTTCTGATCCTGACTAATTAGTTACCAGGACTAATTATTTACCAGGACTAATTAGTTACCAGGACTAATTAGTTACCAGGACTAATTAGTTAACTGGACTAATTAGTTACCTGGACTAATTAGTTAACTGGACTAATTAGTTACCTGGACTAATTAGTTACCAGGACTAATTAGTTACCTCTGACTGGTCCAGATGATCTGTCTTTTTTTGGTCCTCAGGATTTTCAGTCTCCTCACATCAAACTCTTCACGGAGCAAAACTACAAGGCGCTGGGGCTCAACGTGGGGCTGCTGGGCCCGGTACTGAACATGGGGGAGATCAGCCACGGCACCAAGACCCAGTCGGCCAACGTCCTGAGTGGAGTGTGAGTAAAACAGGAGCTGGTTGGGAGTCTGTGATAGTCAGGCCCGACTGGGTATTAGTACTACAGTACTGTTCTGTAGTACTTCTTCTTCTGAACCTCCAGACGTTACATTAAAGACCAAACAGTACCGTGACCCTCAGTCTGAACTGGAACCGATTCACAGTCCTCATAATGGTTTCAAGTTCAGTCTAGTCCAGTTCAGTCCAGTCCAGTCCAGTCTAGTCTAGTCCAGTCCAGTCTAATCCGGTCTAGTCTGGTCCAGTCCGGTCCGGTCCAGTCCGGTCTAGTCTAGTCCAGTCCGGTCCAGTCCGGTCTAGTCTAGTCCGGTCCAGTCCAGTCCAGTCCAGTCCAGTCTAGTCTAGTCCAGTCCAGTCTAATCCGGTCTAGTCTGGTCCAGTCCGGTCCGGCCCAGTCCGGCCTAGTCTAGTCCAGTCCGGTCCAGTCCGGTCTAGTCCAGTCCAGTCCAGTCCGGTCCGGTCCAGTCCGGTCTAGTCTAGTCCAGTCCAGTCTAGTCTAGTCCAGTCCAGTCCAGTCCAGTCCGGTCCAGTTCAGTCCAGTCCAGTCCAGTCTAGTCTAGTCCAGTCCGGTCTAGTCTAGTCCAGTCCAGTCTAGTCTAGTCCAGTCCGGTCTAGTCTAGTCCAGTCCGGTCTAGTCTAGTCCAGTCCAGTCTAGTCTAGTCCAGTCCAGTCCGGTCTAGTCTAGTCCGGTCCAGTCCAGTCCAGTCCAGTCCAGTTCTGAGGTGGCAGTGACATCAGTTCCGGTCTTCTCATCACATGAAGTGTGGGTTCTGTTCTGTGTGTGATTGACAGCTGGGTGGCGTTTGAGAAACCTGGGTTCAGTGGAGAACTCTACGTTCTGGAGAAAGGTCTGTACGCCAACCCTGAGGACTGGGGGGCCCACGACTTCAAGATCTCCTCCATCCAGCCAGTCTTTCACGCTGGTCGGATCTTCACGATTCAAGGTGGCGCTCACTCACTGACAACTGTCTGTTGTTGTTTCTTCTTCTTCTTCTTCTTCGTCGTCACTGATGAACCTCTTCATCTCCTCACAGCTGCAGCTCTACTCCGAGCCAGACTTCCAGGGAAGACAGGTGGCGCTGTTGGAGAGCACAGCATCTCTGGACGAAAACTTTGTGCCCAAATCCTGCAAAGTCCAGTCTGGGAGGTAGTTTGAA